GGGCCGCTGCGCCCGCGGCCGGGGACGGCCCAGACTTGCGGCCGGGGGCGCCGGGCTCTCCCCCGGAGGCGGTGGCGGGGGCAACCGCAGCCCCCGCGGTGGCGGCGGCCCCGGAGCCCAGGAAGCCGCACGGGGTGAAGCGGCATCACCACAAGCACAACTTGAAGCACCGCTACGAACTGCAGGAGACCCTGGGCAAAGGCACCTACGGCAAAGTCAAGAGGGCCACCGAGAGGTTTTCGGGCCGAGTGGTGAGTGCGGGAAGCCCCCGGGGGCGCGGGGTCGGACGCGGCGGCGGAGCCAGGGCGCGCGGGGCGGGGGTCTTGGGCACCGAGACTCTCTCGTCGGAGAGCGGCTTCCCAGGAACCCCCAGACAGACTCCTCACTCTCCCCAGCTCGCCGTGGCTCAGGCGTGTCTGTCTCTCTCGAAACACTTGTTACATCCTGTCTGCGCATATTTTGGGGGTTTTTCTCCCAGCAGCAAAGTAGTGTTTATGATTTGCAAACACTTTGCAACGTTGGGACCGTGGAGGTCTCCCTCGCGGGCACGCATTCAGACCAAGCCCTGGAATGCCTCGCTGCTCTAACTCCGAACAGACCCACATCCTCAGCGGGGTGCTGTGGTTCCCCAAGTCCTGTGTCCTGTAGATGAATGCGACCCCCCACTCCCACTCCTATTCCCCATCACCCTGGTGCTGCTGTAGCTGCAAGGGAGGGTGGACTCCTGCCTCTGTTTTTTGTTTGTCTGTTTGTTTGTTTGTTTTGTTTTGTTTGTTGTTGTTTGTTTTTAAAAGAGAAGGTTTGGGAGCAAAAGTAAAAGGCTGCTGCATGCCTGCGGGTTGTGACAGTTTGCCTCCGGCTTCTGGGAGGACTGAAATGCCCAGGGCATGGGTAGCCACACAGATGCCGAGTTGCAGCCGACTCCATTGCATTTCAGGTCCTGGTTTCAGGGCTACTGAATTGCGGGGTCTGGCCCAGCCGCCCCACTCTTCGTGACAGCTGAAACCCTGCCAGGGTCCCAGCCCCATTTGCAGCTCCTTGAGTGCCTTGGGGTCTCTGTGTTGTCCTGAACTTGGTTTGTTGTCGTTTTCCTTTCTGCAGAACAGGCCCTTGAAATCCACACCGCTTGTGGCTAGAGGGTTGGGTTCAAAGTGACTGACTGTTGCAGAAAGATTTCGTGTGGTGTGTGGCAGAAAATTAACATGGTTCTTTGATTTGAAGCGTATCAGATGTATTTTAATCGATTTAGGGCCAAAGTCAGGAACTAATTATGATACTCCTTGCGTGCACTTTTGGGGGGTGTTTCGGGGCCCAGAGTTGCTTATACACTTAACAAATGACCACGGCGAAAAAGCGAAACGAACTGGCGAGGGAAGTGGCAGATTGATGTTGGTATTTTTCTTTTCGATCTCTACAGGAACAGTTCTGGTGGGGGTAGGGGGTACCAGTCAGAAAGTTTAGCCCCTCAATTCTCAAATATTTGGATACCTGGATAACTCCCGCATCCTAAGTTTCCCTGTTTGGGCTGATCCAACTGTATTCTATAGCTTAAAAAAAAAAAAAAAAAAAGGGTCTGTGATAGGTTAATTGGAAATTCGAGACATTGTGCATTGTATTTTGAAAGGCGTCTTCAGTAAACAAATCCTACAGCCAACAAGTGGTTCAGAATTCATTCTGGGCAGGTGCCACTTTTTTGTAGGTTGAAAATTCTGTAGAGACGGTTGTAAAGATGTACTTTGAGGAACGCACTTTCAGGTTGGTGGAAGAAGAGGCTGAGAAACGTGCACTTCATTCATGCTTTTCTTCTGAGGTGATATTCCCCAGGCTGGATGTTGAAGAAGCAAGAAGTAAGCCTCGCTCCTTGCTCGTGTTGTCTTAATAGCTGTTGAAGAATCGCGCTGGGAAGCTGGGAAGCGGAATAATGAAAAACAGACGCGGCTGGAGCTGCAGGTTGAGGATGTGAGCCTGTGAGGGGTTGAGTGGTAAGGGTGTGTCTGGAGGACACAGAAGCCCGAATGCTGGGGAGCGGCCGCCAGCTGTTTGAAAGAATGAGATCTCGTCTTATGGGAGACACCTTTCTGAGTTTCCCTGGGGCTTCCTGTCAAGCATTCGTCTTGCTGTCTGATCCACAGACGAGGCTAGAGTGAAAGGGATTGCAATCAGGAGACGGGAGCCTGCCTTTCTCTTTTGGTGGGTGTCTTTCCCTTTATTTGCAGAAATTCTGAACATTCCGTCGGGATTTAGTTGGACGGCCGCTAGGGGGCGCCCTGAGAACGGGAGAAGCTCCTTTCTCAGCCGGGAGACTGAAGTCCTGCTCTCTTATTGTCCAGCCCTGGTTGTTTCCCATTGTGCTCTTAATTTCAGCTAAATCTCTTGTTTTACTAAAAAATTAGGTGAAGATTTTGAGTCTGGTAGCAGATCCCAGCTCAGGAGCTGGAAATCCTCAAACTGCTTTCTATTTGATACATAAACTTAAGAACGTTAAGCAGAATCATGTGGTGAGAACCTTGCATTAACCAGATGGGAAAACTGAGGTTTGGAGATGGGAAGGCCTCCTTGGCCTTGAGTCCTCCCCCTGCTGAGCACAGTGCTCACAGATGGTGTAAGAACTTAAGTGAGAAACAGGAATTGTCAGGTGGAAAATTCCCTATGCCTGGCTGAACAGAAAATAAAACAAACACACAAAAAATTCGGTCAGCAAGTCGTTCTTGCCTGTCCAGCGCTTGGTGATTCAGAATCTGTCCAGAGCAGCAAGGAATTTTCATCTGAAGTGTGGACTTGGAGTTTGCTTCTGGTTCTAAGGATGCACCTTGCTTTTTGGGGTGCGGTTGAAGAAACCCGAGAGAGCACTGTCTCCGGCCTGCCTTTTCAGTCTTCGGGTAGCGTGTGAAGTGCTGTTTTATTTTCATGTGTGCCCACGTCCTCTCAAGAGGAGCAGAGGCTTGAAGCTGCTTGGCCTGTGAGAGTAGCTGGCGTCCCAGGTGGGAGATGCTGTGGAATCAGTGGGACACCCCCTCCCCCTGTTGAAAGCAGCTCAGAGGCAGACAAGTGTTTAAAAATGAAAATGTTGTGGCTTTTAATTGCACATCTGGAAGGGCCTTCGGAATCAAACAGAGCACTGCACAACACCGTCTTCTATGTTCTGTGAAAGCCACTTCCGAAGAAAGTTGCAGGATCCCGAGCTCAGAGTGGCCAACTCGGCCTGGCCTGGTCCAGCCATGCTCCCCTCTGATTCCCAAATGTGGTTTGTGGCCACTGCCTGAGGGTGTCAATGACACAAGGGCTCCGAGTGGCTTGTTCCGGAGATGAACACATCCGACAAGGAAGCACTCTCGCAGAGGGGCTGAGAGCCCTGGCCAGAATTCAAATCCTGACTTTTCGCCAGCTCTGTGACCTTGTGCAGGCTATGTTACTTTGAAACCTCAGCCTCCTCATCTGTAAAATGGGCTGGCAGTGGTACCATTTTCATGGACCTGTTGTAATAATTGAATAAAATCGTCTATAGAAAGCCTCAAAAAGTGAAATTCACCAATTTAGTTGTTTTCTTTTAGCAGATTCTTTTTTTTTCCTCATCTCACGTGGACTTTCATTTAGATTTTAATACCATCAGAGGGACATGGTGCATTGGACAAATTAGCCTTGTATCACTCAGAGTGGTAGGGGAAATAATCGGCTTCTCGGCTTGATTAGGGAACACAAGGTGAACAGAAAAGTGCGCCCATGAAGAGCCGAGACAATCAGCCAGATTGTGATAGGATCTGAAAGCATTTCTACAGCCTTGAATTTGGGCTTTGTTTCTTGCACAACTTTTGTTTTGATACAGTTTTAGGCAGGGCTGCTGAGTGGAGCCCTGTGGCATAACACGGCATGCATTTTCTTTGAGCCAAACTGCCCGGACCTTCAGGCTGCTCAAACTATTGCCAAAAAAACCCAAACCCCAAAAACAAACAACATTTTGAGGAGAGGTGTCATGTGATCACCTCACCATCAAGGGTTCCACTTTTCCCCTGCACCAGGTCATCTCTCCCGAGCCGGGGGGCGAGGTCTCCAGGAGGGGTCTGGTCCGGGAGTGGCGGATCAGCGGGCAGAGTGTGCCCCTGGTTTGCCGCGGCGTTCCTGGCTGCCGGAGCTCTAGCTTGGGTGATGGGGCATCTTCACTTAGCAAAGGAACTGCTCTCACCAAAAATGGGTGTTTGAAACCCTAGCCCAAAATTGCTCCCAGCCTGGTGCCGGGAAACTGCAAACGAGGGGCATAATGTAGTAAGCGGGCCTGCTGAGGCAGGTGACGTGTGGCTGTCCCGTGGGGGTGGCTGGGGTGCCTTATTGCATTTATGGCCCCAACCCACTTTCAGGGAGTAAAGGGACATTGGCAAACATGTGGTCCAAACTTCTCTTGGAGACGGGAAAAATAAGGCATAGAATCGTTAAGTGATTTCTCTGTGGTTGCACAGCCAGGAAGTAACCGAGCTGGGTCTAACCAATCTGATTCTCACTTTGGTGTTTTTCCATCACTTGTTTAATAAATCTTTACTAGAGCGAGATGTGATGCTCGCTCCTAAATAGCTCGTAGTCCAGTAGCAAAGATAAAATGTACTTACAAATTTTGAGCTAATTCTGTGCAGTTCAACCAAGAGTTATTACCATCTCCCCTGTGTTTCTCTCCGTGTGAAAGGCCGGGACACAGGCATGACTGAGACCCACGGGGCTACCCATCTGGTGGAGGAGGCAATAAGCAGTCACTAGGTCTGAGCACCTCCTTTGTGTGGGACTGGATTATATCAGGTGATTTTCACGTTGGAATGTAGCTCCCTGAAGCTTAGTACATTTCGCTGAGTTCAATCCTGGACAGGAACACCCCCTCCCCGATTGCCGCCGCTGCTGTGATTATTACTGGCCGATATTTTTGAAAGCTTGGGGTGTGACGTGCCATGCTAACTGCCTTACAGACATTTCCTCTCATCGAAGCCTTACAACAACCCTGAGAGGTGTGCAGTCTAGCTAGACCCATTTAACAGATGGGAAAAATGATGTTTAGGGAAGTTGGATAACTTGCCCAGGGTCATACAGCTAAAGAATGTCAAGTAGTCGGTTTCGAAACCCGCTGCTGCTACAGAAACGGAGAACCTTCCTCATGTTGCACAATGGATGGCCTCTGGATTTGGGCGTGGTTCTTTGCTCATGGTGTCAAAAGACCAGCCATGGGGTGATTCTTTTCCCCGGGGGGGTTTCTTTGTGCTGTTTGGGAAGGGGC